TTCACAATACCCCATAGATTGTCTATGGGGTTAAGGTCAGGCCAGTTTGCTGGCCAATTAAGAGCAGTGATACCATGGTCTTAAACCAGGTACTGGTAGCTTTGGCACTGTGTGCAGGTGCCAAGTCCTGTTGGAAAATGAAATCTGCATCTCCATAAAGTTGGTCAGCAGCAGGAAGCATGAAGTGTTCTAAAACTTCCTGGTAGACAGCTGTGTTGACCTTGGACCTCAGAAAACACAGTGGACCAACACCAGCAGATGACATGGCACCCCAAACCATCACTGACTGTGGAAACTTGACAATGGACCTCAAACAACGTGGATTCTGTGCCTCTCTTCTTTTCCTCCAGACACTGGGACCTTGATTTCCAAAGGAAATGCAAAATTTACTTTCATCAGAGAACGTAACTTTGGATCACTCAGCAGCAGTCTGAGGCGAGACGTTTCTGATGCTGTCTCTTGTTCAAGAGTGGCTTGACACAAGGAATGCGGCAGCTGAAACACATGTCTTGCATACATCTGTGCATTGTGGTTCTTGAAGCACTGACTCCAGCTGCAGTCCACTGTTTGTAAATTTCCCCCACATTTTGGAATGGGTTTTGTTGCACAATCCTCTCCAGGGTGCAGTTATCTCTATTGCTTGTACACTTTTTTCTACCACATCATTTCCTTCCATTTGCCTCTCTATTAATGTGCTTGGACACAGAGCTCTGTGAACAGCCAGACTCTTCAGCAATGACCTTTTGTGTCTTGACCTCCTTGTGCAAGGTGTCAATGGTCGTCTTTTGGACAACTAAGTCAGCAGTCTTCCCCATGATTGTGTAACCTACAGAACTAGACTGAGACCATTTAAAGCCTTTGCAGGTGTTTTGAGTTAATTAGCTGATGTGTGGCACCGGGTGTCTTCAATAATGAACCTTTTCATAATGAATTTGGGGTTTTCATTAGTTGTCAGTTATAAACATAAACATTAAAAGAAATAAACATTTGAAAAATATCAGTCTGTGTCATGAATGAAAATAATATACATTTCACTTTTTAAATGGAATTACTGAAAATAAATTAACTTTTGCACGATAAGCTAATTTTATGACCAGCACCTGTATGTAAAATATGGAACAATAAGATCTGTAATATAAGATGGAGCTAGGTTGTTGAGAGCTTTGTATTTGCCTTATAGATGAAACTGAGGACTGCAACCAAAGTCAGAAGTCAAAGTCAAAGTTTCTTTATTTGTCATTCGCACCACATGTGGTACGGTGGAACGAAATTGTGTACACAGGGTCCCAGTTACATCCAACAAAAGTATAAATTGCAAAGAAAAACAGTAATAAGATCTGAGATATGAACTAAGAAATACACTAAGAATACACAAAACACTAATAGTACAAAATAGGCCCAACAACAGCAAGAACATGAGTCTGTGTGAGCAGATGAGTACGAATAAACACAGCAGCATGAAATAAATCAGCAGCATGAGATCAGCAACATGGATAATCAGCAGCACATCTCAACAAACTGAATAGTTTTCATTTGATATTATTTCTATCTTAACGTGATTCTTGAACTGCCATTGTGTATCTGTTCTTCCTTCCTGTTGCTCTTAAACCCAGCCGGTCGAAGCAGATGGCCGCTTGTCCTGGGCCTGGTTCTGCTGAAGGTTTCTTCCTCATGACGGAGTTTTTCCTTCCCACTGTCGCCTTCATGCTTGCTTAATATGAGATTCTGCTATGGAGTTAAACTCAAAGCAGACTGCTCCTCAGATAAATAATGTTAAATTATTATTTTTATATATGAATGTTTCTGTTCAGTGCCCTGAGACGACTTCCGTTGTGACTTGGCGCTATATAAATAAACTGAATTGAACAATCAAGTGGCATTACTGTGATTTTTCACAGTGATAAATAATCCTGATTAGATATTCATGAGTCTAACAGCTTCAGGGTAGAAGCTGTTCATCCTCAATCTAGTGGTCCTACATGTAATGCTAACACTTAAAGGGAGCTGTAAAGAGAATCAAGGGCAGTTTATCTCTTCATAAACACTTCTCTCGAAAAATAGCCTTGTAATTGATATTTAATGTTGCGTTACATATCTGAGTCTCTTCCTTGCCGTACCACATTTTAGCCTCCAATGTCACTTCTCTCACTCCTACAGACACCACCTCCACAGAGTTATGAAGCGATCCAGTTCCGCTCATCCTCGAGTAAACACCAGTCTGGCTCTGGCTCACCTAGGAGTGAGAACACACAGATCCAAGTTTTCTCTCTACACTTTTCTGAGTCATAGGTAGACAGGATGCGAGGGAGCCAGGGGAAGCAGCAGGAGAAAGGACGGTAGAGGTGTGTGCCAGCAAAACAAAAAGAAGACTAACACAGTCCAGAAAAGGACACACAGAAACTAGTCAGACAATATGGAAGACCTTCCTGCTGCTGCTGGTGTCTTTGTGGTATATCCACTTCTCTGAGAGAGTGTGCGTCAATATCTGTGGGCTAATAAAGACGGCAATACGCCTGTGACTCACACACATCCCAAGGGAAAGGATGGAGGGAGGAAAAAAGAAGAGAAGGGCTTGAAGGGATTGCTTCACTCTCATCTTTTATTAAACAAATCCAAAAAAAAAGAAAAAAAGAAATATACAGTATGTGTAAATTAGAGGTCAAATAATTATAATTTTCAGGACTCTCTGAAGCTAATGAGTTGTTAGGTGTTTTAGTTTCACATATTGTAGCATTCAACAAGAGATAAATTTATGAGGAAAAGGTCTGATGACTGTCATCATCTTCAGTTTGATGAATACTTGCAGCAGCCTTAGAGGTGTGACTGCGTCTTCCTTTAATGAATGAGTTGAAGTCACAGATCAGTGATTCAACAGAAAAAAACACCTTAAACGCTTGAATGAAAGAAAAAAAAAGCTCTTTTGTTTACGAGACCTGAATACCGCTCGACTCCTAGAACTGCGTGTTCTGTTTGCGTCGGAGCGCCGCGCAGCCTTTCACAGACCACATTCACTCAGAAACGCTCAGACTCACCGGCCTTCGTTGCCATAGAAACTATAGTTTCAGGATGATTCCAATCATCGTGTTGAGCCTCAAAGATCACTCAGACATGCAACGCACACGCCGCGCCTCTAAAGCACACAGCAGACCAGCTGTTATTACCAGTACAAACTTGTTTATTTCCATTACACAATTTCCAAGGCCAGATCACAAATAAATAAAGACACACTTGTTGCAGTTAAAGCTCAGCTTCCAGGGACACTTAACCAAAAAATAAAAAGTGACCCTAAAACTGGTCCAAAACAAAGAGCATTAAATACATTAGGAGGCTTTACATGTGTACAGTTAGTAGTTTCATTCAGTTTGTGACATTTGAACCTTTTCACTTTAAAACCTATCTACATATAAAAACATCTTCTGCCTCGTTAGATCCAATCTGATGACGGTGGTATGTATTCTGTGTGCGAGGTCTAAAAACACAGGGAGCGCCCCACATTCTCAAGACCCCTGATGAAATCTTGCGTTTGTCGGAAGGCAACAAGCAGCTTTTGGCCAGGCAGAGAAAAAGCAGCGAACACAATAAGCGTCTGACATTTCACTGAATCGTCAGGAGGAATAACAAGAATATATATATATATATATATATATATATATATAAAAAAGAAAATCTAAAACAGGAAGGAGGAATGTTGATCCTGCTTCGTCGTAACAGCAGAACTTTTTATCAGCTAAAGACAGCAGAAATCTGATAAGTGATGGTGTTTACTGTACCTTCATCAATGCTGCGCTGAGTACCGTCAAAATAAGAGCTCAGTGACATGCCCACTTTTTACAGAAGAGCACTGACCAATCAAACATTCTCAGCTTCAGTCTATATTTAAATAAAAGGAAGTCACTTGAACTGTTGCAATTTATACCGCCACAAATCTAAAAAAACCTGCTGTAACCAATATATGATTTACATGAGTTAAAATACCTGGTTGTACTATAGTACACACTCGTATGTACATTTAACGTACAGTTATCTTACACACAACCAAGCTTGGATTTACAGCAGCACTCTGTACGTTCGTCCTATATGCTCAACCCTGGAGTGCGTTCATACAGAATTTCTTCAATTGCTCCAATGGAGTGGAAATTATTCTCCTATTTATGTGCTTTGGTACAGGCGCACACTTTCCATCATGCAAGTTTTACACGCATTTCCTGTGTAATTTACATCTTTAGCACAGTATATTAACAGGCTACTTCTAAATGCTGCCGTCAGTGTCTCTCTACCATTCTCACTTTTATGTTCCTATAAGATTATTCAACTAAGAGCAAAGGCTGATAAATACACCTCAAAAAGGGCTTTCTTCCTTTTACATAGTTAAAATTAGAGTATAAATATTGCACATTCATTTTAGATTTCATATTCATGAGTTTAAAAAAAATGAGCAAAACAACAGTAACTAGATCTATCAAATTGAATGGCATGTATCGCTGCAACTAGCTAATGTAACTTTTTGTCCTATGCAAAGTTCTGTTGGAGACATCCATGGTCTTGGTCATGACAGCAGGAAAACAGAATACGTGTGTGTCAATAAAAAAAAAAAACAAGTGCTACAGGAGGCATCGCCTTGACGGATACTTTGCCATTGAACTGTGATCCCAGTCTAATAGCAGGGAATGAAGACTCAAGTAAACATGCACTCGAATGAGCAGACTTTGGCTCACCGGAGAATAAAAGAAGAAAATGACCTAAAAAAATGTAAACACAGCTCATTACAAGTAGCATAAACAAACAAACAAAAAAAAGGGAAATACAAAATAAGCATGTATAAGACATGTATAAAATCTCTCTGAATAGTAACAGTATTAAAATGTATGTCTTAATGCTAAATCTCTTGTGGCTTTGCAACTGATCATAAAGAAATGGGTTTCAAAGCCGACGAACCAAACATCGAAGAAAACATTGCAACGCACATAAGAAAAGAAAACGAAGATAATAAAATTCCCTGCAAAGATTGCAACCTGAAAGTGATTTAGTTCCCTCTGTCAGGCCTATACTACGCACTGCCCCCGTCAGGTACCTGGACGTGACTACAAACCGAGCTGTAAAGGTGGAATGCTCCTGAGAGCAAAGGAGAAAGAGAAGCTGTGATGAGATGGATCCATGTTTATGTTGACATTCTTTTCCCTTCGAATCATGCAAAGGTCAGGGTTCAAATGCCACGTTGGTCGTTGTAGCAACTCAAAGGGTTGAGTTGTAAGTGCGTCGCCTGGCTGGCTCAGTCATCTGCTGTCTGGGTTCTTCCTGCCTCTTGGTTTTAACCGGAAGTGCTAAAACTCGATTCCAGATTTTTCTCCCCACTTTGATCGAGGCTGGTTACAGAGAAGCTGAGGTGACCTCTCTCTACACATCTGAAACAATATATGTGTTACCTACATTACAAGTTTGAGTCCTCACGAAATAGTTCAGGTTAGCTCCTCATTCAAGTGAAGGGTGTGTGTTGCTTGGAGTGTATTAGTGTTATTTTCCACCATACATCCTCTCAATGTCTTCCTGGTAGTGTGTTTTGAGCTCCTTGCGCTTCAGTTTGAACGCATCAGTGACCAGACCAGTCTCTGGTGTCCAGGGTTCAGCGCTCAGCCGGATCTTCTTGGGAATCTCAAACCGCTCCAGTTTGCCTGGTTGGAGGAGAGCAGAACCAGAACTAAGAGTCCGCCCCAGACACAATTCACCCAAAGCGTGTGATGTGCTATCTAACCACACGATACCTTTAGCTGTATTACAATCATTTTGTTAGCAATAATACGACTTTTCATTTCTACCTGAAACAGCAGCGTCAGTAATGATGTGGAGGAACTCTTTCTCTATCTGGGGGTTGTTGCAGATTTCTTCCCAAGCGCCGTTAATTTGCATCTGCCTCGCCAGTGCCATTAGCTGCTTGTGATTAGGCACCACAAAGCTGATCACATATGACTCAGCACTAAAAAAAAAAAAATAAAGAAGGGGCATTCATGTTTTATAATCAACACATTTTCTCAGTGTGGGAACAAAAAAAAAGTGAAAAGAAGGAACATAAAAGGATAATACCTGTTGGCATAGGCACAGATATTGTCTACATAAGGGCAGTTCTTTAGAATGGCTTCTACTTTTCCAAGAGAGACGTATTCACCCGCCTGAAGTTTCACCAGGTCTTTCTTACGGTCTGGAAAACACATGTTCACATCTGATTTAACACATTTATCTGATCACCAGCACACAAACGCATCAGATGGTATGTCTCCTACCAATGATCTTGAGGCATCCATCAGGGTGGAATTCTCCAATGTCTCCGGTGCAGAACCACCTCTGGCCTTTCCCATCCACGAAGAAGTCCTCGTGGTTCTTACCGTCACTTTTATAGTAACCCATTGTGACATTGGGCCCTCCAATCAGAATTTCCCCTCGTGGGTTAGGCTTATCTGTGCTGTAGTAACCACCTGAAGGAACAAAGAACAATTAATTAACTTTTTTTTGTCTGATTTCTGTAGATATATTTGCTAATCTCTTACTGACCCTCCTCCCAGTTCTTCAGCGTGAACTCAGAGCAAACCAGTGGAGCGCCGACCCGTCCCGTGCTGTAGTCCCAAACTGAAAAATCCACCAAAGACTCAATAAATATAAGCAAGTACAAGCTAAGTTGTGTTTTATCATCATTGTGGTGAAAAAAAACCAACACACAAAAACCCCAACACGGTTTGTAAAAGTACCCTCAGTGATGGTGCCAGCTCCACAGGTCTCCGTCAGGCCGTAGCCCTGCCCCACAGGACAGCACAAACAGATGTTCATGAAACGCTGGGTTGCAGCCGATAGTGGAGCTCCGCCGGAGAGCAGAATCCGCGTGTTGCCTCCCAAGAGGGACCGTACCCGTTTGAAAACCAGACTGAAGGGGAGGAAAAGCATGGCAAGCCAGTTTATAATTTCATAAGATTAAACTCGATCTTCAAAGCATATTTCTATTTTTTTATTACTACTAAGTGAACATTAATAATATTATGTAAAATGACAGTTTTTCCCTTAGTCCCACAAAAATAATTTAAAACATACTAGAGAACAATTTCCAGCATTTTATGTTGTAGCTAAGTGTTAACAAAAATTTTAAGAAAATGCTGTACGAGGTTGAGATTAGCCTCGGAGGTTAATGGCAGCTGGAGCAGCTCGTGTATGCAGTGACGAGTTTTACCTGTCACAGAGAGGCGTACTGTATCCCTTGGAGATCTGCTCCATCTTGTAGTTGTAAGCCAGTACGAAGAGCGTTTTCTGGAATTTGCTCATCTCCTCCACTTTGGTCATCACATTTTTGTAGATCCGGTCCATGATCTCCTGCAAACATCAGACAGTCAACACTAAGCATGACTGTAATCAGTTATAAAGTTTAAGTTTAGAGTATATTCTAATAAACAACGGCTTCAACATTAAACATTATAAGGACTTACTGGTACAGCAGCCATAAGAGTAGGTTTCAGCACACTGGTATCCCCTTTACTGCCCTTCTTGATCTTAGAGGACTGTGAAAATGAAACAACTGTCAGTGCTGAACAGAGTTCAGGTTGTGGTAACAAATCGACATGGGTGCCTGCCCATGACCATTTTTATACATGGTCAAAAATATCATGTAAGAATTGTGGATTTAATGTTCTGAGGACATCATAAAAATCATATCAAATTTTATTCAGACACTGACCTGGTCCGCTAGAGTCTGAGGAGAGGAATACCCGATACGACATCCATGAGAGATGCAAACCAGTTCTGCACTGAGCTCTAAAACGTGGGCCAGTGGCAGGTAGCCAATGTAGGTGTCTGTCTCACTGCCAGCACACAAAAAAAAGCAAACTATGTAATCAAAGAAAAATAAATCCCAAGTAAACAAACATAGTTGCCAGAAATGGCTGGAAAACCACCACAAACAGATAAAACCGTCAGATTTTAAGTATCAGAACAGAAGAAAAACCAGAGAAAGTGTCAGAGGCCAAGCAGTGAAACTCTCTGCATACTTGAGGTTAGGGATTCGCTCAGCCATGCCGGCAATGCCAGCAATGATGTTGCCGTGGGAGATCATGACACCCTTAGGAATGCCCGTGGAGCCGCTGGTGTACATGATGACGGCGATGTCCGAGGGCTTGGGCTGTCTGCGCTCTACTGCAACTGTGGAGCAAGAGTGATGTTAGAGTAGAAGTACACCACACAACACCTTTATCATTATTTGTGAAATAAGTCGCAGCTAAAATTCAATTATATGCTTCATAACCAATTTCGCTTTTTGCTTTTTATTTAAAATAAAATATAAAGCTGAAATTTACTGACCACTGTCCACAGCAAGTACGACAAACTATTTAGAAGCTGAAGTGATTCTTAAGAACCATCATTTCTTTTACCTTTATTTTCCTTTAAAGTTGGACACTGTCATCAAACTGTGCGTTTGTAAGAGATGATTGCTGATTGTCATGCACTGTGCATCAGTTTAATTACAAATCAGGATGTTGGATTTGTATTAAGCCTGCTCTGGTGTACTTCAATGTTCCTGGTAAAATTAGAAACAGTTTTAATCACAGTGCTCACTGTTTTCTGGTTTGGATCCCAGCTCCTTCACAGTGTCCATGTTATAGATCATGATGCCTCTGGGCATATCTGAACAGCTTGTGGGCTTACTGTCCACAACAATGATGTACTGCAGCCTCGGGACATCACACAGAACGGCCTGCGACAGAAAATTCAATGTTGGCAAAAGAGAGGAAGAAAAGGAAAGAAAACGGCAGGAAAAAGTAATTAAGCAAATTGAAATGAGCTTCTTTGCTACACATGAACAACAACATGGTTCAACCACTTTAACACGACTGACAAAAACAGTAATCAAGCACCTTAAGGCGGCCCTGCAGCAAGTCTTTGCTTGTGATGATGTGCGTGACTTCTGTTTCATTCAGGCCATGAGCGATGGCCTTGGGCCCGAGAGTGGCATACATGGTAACAACTGTGAAGTTCAGTTATAGTTCAGCTGGTTAGTTTAAATGTACACAGACTAAATGTATAAATATCAAAGTCTATTCCTGCATACGTACGTGGGAAATTGTACATGAAGCAGGCTTGTGCTGCTACAACCCACTCAGCTCTGGTCTCACAAATGATGGCGATGTTATAGAAGGGCTTCTGATTAAGAGCTGCCAGACCACTACCAAAACACTTGGCCACGTTGTAGGCTTCCTCATACGAGAGCCAGTTATAGTTCCCGAGAATTACCTGCATGAAACATGCACAGGTACACAAGGAAATCAGTACTGTGTACACATACTACAAAGAAGCAGCAGAACATACGGGCTTGTGCAGCATCTTTACAGGAACAGTTTTAGTCATCGTGACAAGGATGCACTGAATATGTTCACTTTTTTTTTTTTTTACTTTTACAATAAACTTTACAAAGCAAGATAATGATTGTGGCAACAATGAAACAGGAAAATCAGCAAATGACTCATGCTGAACCAGTTATACGTCATCACCAATATGTAGTGAGTTACTGCCATCTACAGGACTTTTGTTGTCATTCAGGTGTTCGTTCAGCGGAGGCCTTTTCTGTTACTCACACTGAGTGCAGTGCAAGAAACAGAACACAGGTCCCCTTCTAAACATTTACGTCTCCACAGGAGCAACTCTATGGCTCGACTACACTCTGCAACATATCTAACCAGTAAAAATAAAAATGTAAATAAGCAGACAGAGGATTCTCACCTTTTTAAACACTTTGCCGTTTGGCTGGAGTTCATCCTCCTCACTAAGCACCTCCCTGCTGCCCAGACAGTCTCTCGCTGGGAACCTCCTTGCAGCATTTTCAAACATTTTGTCCAGTGTGTCCACTCCAGGGTTCAACCATGCTACCAACGTCGCCAGGCTGTTGGTGGATCTGTACGGTCCCGCAGGGTGTCCGCTGACTGACTGCGCCTTTATCCGGCGGGCTCGTTCCAAATTGGTGCCAGCCCCGGAGAAGAAGTACCAGGGTATGAAGGTGATGACAGAGTAGACCCAGACGACAGAGCGGAAAACATGCAGGAGCAGCGGGTTGATTTCCTCCTTCAACTTCATCTCTGGCGATGAAGTCAAAGCTGGAGATGACTCAAACTCTTAAGAGGAACAACGGATTGATCTGCTCAGCTCAGTATTCTGATCTGCTGCCTACAGTGCATGCAGGAGGAGGTGGTAGATGTTTATGCGAGGCAGAACAACCTGCAAAACAACATTAAAATGAAATTTTAGACGTATGATCTGCACTGAAAATGAATCAGAACATTCTGAAACACTGAGTTTCAGTAAATATGAGTAACAGCATCCCGGTAAGTAAATCCTTGCTTTAATGAAGCCCAGCTCTGTCTATTTTTAGACCGATTCCCCAGCATTTTTCTTTCTCCACCACTTTCTTCCATGCTTCACAAAGAGCAACCTTACAGAGGAAGTATGAAGCTGAATGAATCAGCATAATGAAAATTTAACATCAGAGCTGAGGTTATTGTGTTAACTAGTTGAAAATGTGCTTCTTATGTGAATCGACTGTAAACTCTAACTCCGTTTTGAAGCGTTCCTTTGTGCGCTCTGGAGACAATGCAGAACTTTGCACCAATCGTTTTTTCTACTTTCTGCAGAAAGAGATTTGTCAGATAAACTGACAAAAAAAGGCAAACAAAATATGACAGGATAAGAAAACTGTTCAAGACTGCTGAAACAAGCAGAGCTTTCCTTTAACACTGCATTTTCTGGAAGAATTCATTGTGTAGTTTGCAGCAACATTATACCCTGTGCTGTTTTTTGTGTGTATTTTTATTGTTTGCTCTAAGTGGGTTTAGTCTCCCACACTTTAAAGTTGTTAATGCTTTAAGATGCTGGACTATGCAACTGTTTGCATCACCTCAGACTGCCTCCCTGAGAGCTCGGCTATTTGTAGTGTGTGCTTAAAGAGGGCAGGACAAGCAATGTGGCCCTGTAACCTCTGAGCCTGACTGCAGCTTACAGTGAGAAGCTAGAGGTCAGGACTGACGTTAGCAAACCCCGGCCAGCTAATGTGACAATATGGTGAAAACAGTAGCACAAGCTAATGAGGTGGGATGCTCATATGCACAATATGCAGGCTACAAGACAAGATACATGAAAAATAAACTTGCTTGATTTCTAAAAACAAATGTCTGTGTTGCACTAAACTGTTTCAAGACAAGACGGGCAGAGAACAACATTACACACACACAAAGCCAGCACTCAACAACAGGTTTAATATTAGCAGCATGTGGTTGATGTAATGTGCAATCAAGGAGAAATCATTTTAGAGTGAATGAACTGATGCTTAAAGCTACATCTATTATTAAACTACATACAAACTAACCTGTACAAAAACCTTGACTGAGCTGTCATTTCTCTATATTTTGCTTCCAAGACACTAGACTTTCTTGTAATCTTTAAAAAAAGGGTCTTTTTCAGCTGCTCTAAAGGTTTTCTGTGGATTTGAGTTCATTCAGACACGCACCAGTACCTAAACAATCTGAACACAACAAGCAATGCATCCAAGAACCATTTTAAAATAAGCAGTTTGTTAGCAGCTTGTCTCGATGACAATTTGTTTCAGTTTTTTAGTTCGATCTCTGACAAATACCGAATGCAACCCAGTTTGACATAGAATCCCTGTTAGCACCAAACAAGTAGCATCCAGAGCTGCTGGTTGCAAACTGAATAAGGCAGATGGTCTTGTTCAGGTTTTTGTTGGCTCTTTTCAGCTGAAGACAGCATCTTAAACCTGACATTTTTTTTTGGTTTCTCCTTCTTTGACCAGTGTTTTAAAGTTTAAACACATCCTGCAAACCACACCATCATAGATGGACAAGGACTGAAGCCAGAAAATAAAATAAAAAAGGTCAAAAAGCAGTCCCGAGACAAGATTTTAAAAGACCTCAAGAAAACATCTGCCTCCTTGGAAGCAGATTAGAAGGAAATAAAATGTGGTTTAAAACTTTTGAACAATATAAAGAGGAGCTAACTGTTTTATTTACACACAACCGTTATCATTTAAGTGTGAAAAAGATTGAACCTAAAGCGACAATTTTACACACACACCCCCCAATCAAAGTCACAGCGATATACTGGGTGAACGTGTCTCACTTGTTCTGCTTACATACCACAGCAAACTGCCATAAATTGAGAGTACATGGGAAGATCAAACAAAACTCGGAGCCAAGCTGTAGAGAGTTCACACCAGCTTGGTTTAACACTGGCAGTACAGGTTTAAGTAGACGTACTGTTTAGAGTAGGGCCGCCTTTTTCTCGTTAGTTTGAGCAACAATGAAACGGATCTTTTTCACACAAAGCAGCTGACATGCAATGAACGGTTAGTGACGGTTAAGAGACATCACGTTAGAATTAATTTTTCATCTTATGTGTGATGTCAGTCCCATAAGATGCTGGTTAGCCTCGACTGTTTCAGACAGATAACATATAAAGCACAGACAACAATTCAACAAAAATCAATACAAATCAAATAAAAACTGTTACAGTGTTTATAACTTATTTTATATGATTTGAATTGCTTTTTGTTGAACAACTGTTGTCTGCACTTTATATGTTATCTGTCTTAAACAGGTCTCTCTTGAAAATGAGTCCTTGTGACTCACCGAGACTAACCTGTATAAATAAAGGTTGAATGACACAAGAGTAAACCACACCACAAACCAAATGAATCAAGTCGTGAAAAATACTTGTGTTCTGCACAGTTTGAGTAACAGGGAACTAGTTTTACTTATGTGAAAGTAAAACTTTTAATCACATGCATAATAACTACCTGCAAACCTTAGATTTACAAGAATCTTTTTTTTTTTTTTTTACTGTTTTACACAGTTGTAGTATATTTCCTAATACGGTTAAGACTTTTAGCTTATTTATCCACTATGGCAGAATATGGCTACAATGTTGTGAGGCTATTTTACTAGAGATTATGTTAGTTATACTGTTTAAAGTTAATGTTTCATTGAAAAAGCAGCTGCAGGACTGGAGGAAGACACCAAAATGAGTTGAACATTTAAATCTGGTAACATTTTAAGCTTGTTCTTCTTACTTTTATGGAGTATTTCAGATGTTAATTATTCAGTCACCTTCTTCTCGTTGGTATTAGCTTATTTGAAGTACTGTATGTGCTGTATGTACTGTATACTGTATGTACTGTATACTGTATGTGCTGTATGTACTGTATACTGTATGTACTGTATGTGACGTATGCATTAAACACACATCTATCAGTATCTGTGTTATTTTTAAACGCTGACAGTGTGACATCAATGCTTACAGCTAGTAAAAATAGATATAAACAGTAGTGACTATAGATAAGATTACATCATGTGTAACTGCCGGAACGAGATTTAAGAGTTTAATTTTGGTTCTGAATATCGGGACATAGTAATCACGCTAGCGAGTTTAGCTGTTAGCCGAAGCTTAGCGAAGCGGCAAAAAGACGACCATTTATTTAGTTCAACAAACCCGTCACAGCGCTCGCTGAGTAGCAAAACATTTACTCAATAATTTTAAAAGCGAATCATAAGTTTTATAAAAATGTACGACTTGATAAAGGCGACGTGCCGCGCCATTCAGTAAACCGGTGGCTAACGCAAGCGCCTCCTCACGCGAACATCTGCAAAGCGCTAAGCAACACATCCTCTCACCTCTTTTCCTCGTTATTACCGAGTCGCTGCGGGACGAACTCCGGTGTTTTTATCCTTTCAATCACAGCTCCGACATCATATTCACGTAAACTATCAAGTCCATAGTGTTGGCAATGAATCTCAACTGCAAGTGTGCGATAAAACCAATATGAAAATACGTAAATCTGTGAAAAACCGGGGCCACTGGTGCCAGACCGGAAGCTGTCAGGTGACGTCACGATGTTTCTCCGACAGTGATTGGAGCTTCGGAGGTGGCGCGTGCTGGAGGCAGCGGGAACGTCAGCGAGGTTACTAGCGGTCAAGATACGGAAGTCTTCAGCGACGTGTCGTCGGTGCCCTGCAAGAAACTGTCTACCTTTGCTGTAAAAGTAAAAATTATAAAATTATAAATAAATTAAACAATCGCGTTTAAAATACACGTGACAGCACAAGCACAGTTATCACCACTGAACTGACCCGAACATAAAAATCAAAGATACTTGAGGAATCCTAAAAACGAACTTACACAATACTGTCAATACAAATCCATGGCAGACATACCTGAGGGTTGGAGTTCAAGTACTTTTTTCAGTTTTATTTTATAGCCAATTTGCATCGCTATTTTCAAGTTATTTATTTTATTATTATAGTGTTTTTGTCTTCTGTCTTTTCCTGAAAGTTTGGAGACATTCATTAAATGTGCAGATCGTTACAGTGATCTGTGATAATTCATCCATCCATTATTTTTTACCCACTTCTCATGTGATGTTTATACTTCATACACTACAAAACTGATCTAAAACCGTTTTGTTATATTTACTGTCAATAATATTTAGTTTTGCACAGTTTATGCTAACACAACATTGAGGACCACACAACGTGGTCAATATTGCAGAATGACAATCAAACAGTGAGTTACAGTATATATTTACAAGTTCTTCAGAAAATAAATAAATGGGTGGGTGTACTTTTTATTTACCAGCAACAGATAAAAAATACAATCATAAATTGAAAAGGATGCCATTAAAAAAAAAAGACTAAATCTGCAAAATATGAATCAAACTGTTCAAAATATGCTTTTGCCAAGCTATTGTTGGACACTTTTCCAGGCCACAAAAATCTAGCTACTGTTTTATCATCTGAAAGTTAATCAAAGTAAACAAATAAAAAGACTATGTGCACTAATTTCATTCAACCTTTATTTACACAGGTTAATCCCATTGAGTCTCGGGGACTCAATTACAAGAGAGATTTGATTTTAACAAAAAGTGATGACAACAGTGGACAACAAAAACAACAATAGACAATCATAAAGGATGCATACAAATTATTATTTTTTAATATAATATTTAAGAAGAGATCTGATTTAGTCCCTCAAAATGCCCACCATGTTGACAGATTTATTTGACGTTTGTATTTCTTTGTGGTCATTTTATTCATG